GGTGAGGAGCAGGAGGTGCTGGGCAGCTGAAAAAAGGAAGAGGTGGAATGACACTAGAAATACAAACCCTCCCTTCAAGGAGCTGAGAATCACAACTGACCCAGCTCCTCCAAAGTCACACCAGACTCACCAACTGGACAGATCCACAGGGTACACTAGTGCTTCAAGAGCCAACAACAGTGAAAAATTCTTAACCCAGAACAAAAGCGAACAGCATCAGGAACAAACCTTCCTCACCAAGTCAAGTGGTTACAAGCAGAGCCTGTAGAGGGAGTTTGCAAGGTCCTACAGGTGAGTAACTCTTCTGCATTGCCCTGGCTCTCAGCATCATGGACTGGAACTAGGGCTGCTGGCTTTCAGAGTCTAGTGTTGAGAATGCACCTGGGCATAGTCCAAATTGCAGATTGAGGATAAATGTTCCCATTATGCAGCAAAGTGCATCATTGCTATTGCAGGAAAGCAGGTTGTTTGTATTTTCCAGAAAGGGGCTTAGCTACTGCAAGGATGGGTGAGGGCTAAGAACCTAGCTCAATAGACAGAACCGGACAGCATTAGGCAAAACCCCACCAGACGGCCCAGCACGTGTCCCTCAAGAAACGTCTGGCATGAGCCATAACACACAGCACTAGCCATAACAACCACAAGCGGGGAAGTCATGGCCCTTGGCATAACTGCTGCACACATCCCTGTCCTGCAAGGAACTGATGGGATTTTAACAGGGACAGTGACAGCTGTCTGGTTTTATGGATTATAGGATGGCTGAAGTGTTCTCTCCCTTCAACTGTTAAATGCAGTTACTAACACGTGTATCTTAGTATTTAATGCTACCGTGGTGTTCTCCTCCTAGTCAGTTTAATTATAGTTCAGAGCTTCTATTTCCATGTTTTAATGCTGTCTGTGTGAACACAAATAAAGCCAGGTTTCAGAGTAGCAGCCGTGTTAGTCTGTATCCACAAAAAGAACAGGAGTACTTGTGGCACCTTAGAGACTAACAAATTTATTTGGGCAGAAGCTTTCGGGGGTTACTGCCCACTTCTTCGGATGCAAAGAATGGAACATCGAGGAGATATATATACACATATAGAGAGCATGAAAAGGTGGGAATTGTCTTACCAACTCTAAGAGGCCAATTAACTGAGAGAAAAAACTTTTGAAGTGATAATCAAGATAGCCCAGTACAGACAGGTTGATAAGAAGTGTGAGAATACTTACAAGGGGAGATAGATTCAATGTTTGTAATGGCTCAGCCATTCCCAGTCTCTATTCCAGCCTAAGTTGATTGTATCTAGTTTGCATATCAATTCAAGTTCAGCAGTTTCTTGTTGAAGTCTGTTTTTGAAGCTTTTCTGTTGCAAAATTGGCACCCTCAGGTCTGTCATTGAATGACCAGACAGGTTGAAGTGTTCTCCTACTGGTTTTTGAATGTTATGATTCCTGATGTCAGATATGTGTTCATTTATTCTTTTGCATAGAGACTGTCTGGTTTGGCCAATGTACATGGCAGAGGGGCATTTCTGGCACATGATGGCATATATCACATTGGTAGATGTGCAGGTGAACGAGCCCCTGATGGTATGGCTGATGTGATTAGGTCCTATGATGATGTCACTTGAATAGATATGTGGACAGAGTTGGCATCCGGCTTTGTTGCAAGGATAGGTTCTTGTAACTGTTCACCTACTCTGAGCCATTCATTAGGCCAGGAAAGGTTGATGCACATTAACGGTTAGTGTTACTGGCTTTACAGGGCAACTCAGTGCACAAGCCAATACGGGGAGGGTGCTGTTCCCCATTCATGACTTCCCTGGAAGGAAGGGCCACCCCCAGGGTGGAGCAGCGTGCACATGCACAGCAAGGGGCACAACACGGGACACAAGCTTGTTAGACACAACCTGCCCAGTGAGCACCAGTTAAATAGCTGCACTGCCATTTCCCACTCTGCTATTTCCTAGAAGGGCAGGAAACACAACAAGTTACTGATTGATTTGGATTTTGTCAAACGGGCCCTCCGGCACTCCAGACTTGTGTACAAGGATTATAAAGCAATATGCCCCCAACTCCCCCAGCTCCCCTCAAGAGCACTGGCTGTCATAGGCACTCAAAGGCTGTGGCATGGAAAGTGTTGTTCTGGGGAGAGGTTGAGGCACTGGGAGCAGAAATAGCAGGGGTCAGAGACACCCTAGGAAAGCAAGGTGGCAGGAGAGGAAACAGCAGCTTTCTCGGACATGCAGGTGCATACAGCAGTGCAGAAAGTGGAGTGGCACATTTGCTGTCCTGCTCCCAGAGCCCAGACTCACCCATGCCGTCTCTGCAGGGACACGGGTGGAGCTGGAAGCTGCTGCTGGTGCAGGCTGGCTGGAGGGATGCTCGGTCCAGTATTTATAGCTCCCTCCTGCCCCGTGGGCGGGGCATTGCTGTGACCACTCCCACCCAGCCCGCTTGTCCTGTTGGCATCTGTGCTGGTGATTTCATGGTTTATGTGCTTTGTGTCTCTATGACAGGTGACCTGAGGCACAGGCTGCTGTGGTTCTGGGGAAAATGAAGCAATGATATTTGGGGCTAATAAGTGATTCTTTGGCACAGTTCGGGTTTGTGGCAGCCAGCGCTGAAGAGGTGGTTTTCCCAGGGAATCCATATCCTTAAGTAGCTTTGGAAACACCAGCCCAGTAAATAAATACTATTCAGTAAATAAAGGCTATTCACTACCTTCCAGAGAAACCCCTTGTGACGTTGCACTCCATATGTTTCATGGAAATATGCTGATGAGTGTAAATATAATGTAACTGAAATATGCTTTGTGCTAAAGGTCTCTTGTGAGGTATCATTACAAAGCTTGTAATCTACTGAGTGTGGTCATCCTATTTGTATAAATGTAGCATTCTTGTATCTGAAACTAGAAATATGATATATAACTCTGAGGTCCTATTGAAATTATGCAAAGTGTGGGCCATTAATGGTGGTTTAGAATCTTGATGGCTCCAATTAACCAGGACAATTGGTTGTAAATGGCTCGGTTTACTTGTAAGCCTTCCTGTATAGGTGGGTGCCAGCAAGTGGGTAATGAAGTCTTACAGTGACATGTGATCATGTCACCTGAACTGGAATCCATTGTTGACCTGGTGCATTTCCATTTGGAAGGAGGGGTAGGAACCCAGAGAGAGACAAAGGATTCCCGCCTTGTGCCAAAGATATATAAGGGGGTGGAGCAGAACAAAGGGGGCTGCCAGTCATGAGAAATCCCTGGAGTTACCACCTGAGCTGGAGCTAACAAGAACTGTACCAGGGGAAATGATTGGGCCCAGACTAGGAAGGAGTCTAGTCTGTGAAAGCAGCTTATTGGAACATCTCTAAGGGTGAGATTTACCTGTATTCAGTTTCTTAATGTATTAGGCTCAGACTTGCATGTTTTGTTTTATTTTCCTTGATAACTTACTTTGTTCTGTCTGTTATTACTTGAAAGCACTTAAATCCTACATTTTCTACTTAATAAGTGATTAATTACCTGGGGGAGCAAACAGCTGTGCATATCTCTGTCAGTGTTATAGAGGGCGGACAATTTATGAGTTTACCCTGCATAAGCTTTATACAGAGTAAAATGGATTTATTTGGAGTTTGGATCCCATTGGGAACTGGGTGTCTGGGTGCTGGGGACAGGTGACCTACTGAGCAGTTTGGGGTTAAAGTCTGCAGCTTTGGGGGTGTGGCTCAGACCCTGGGTCTGTGTTGCAACAGACTGGAGTGTCAGGCTCAATAAGACAGAGTTCTGAAGTCCCAAACTGGCAGGGGAAATGGGCTCAGAGGTAATCTCAGCACATCAGGTGACAGTCCCAAGGGGGTTTCTTTGAGCGAACCCGTCACACACACCCCACACACATTGCACATGAACCCCAGATCTCAAGTTAGCAAAAGTACCTTGTGAAGTCAAGTAGCTCAGCACTGTGGATTTAGTGTCTGAATGAGACTTAGTTAAGAGTTGGCTGAAGTGTCATGGGAGAACGTGTTTTTTTAATCTGAGCACCAATCCTCCAAGTCCCAGTAGTGCCTGTCATCTCACTAGTGATAGCTCCTATCACAGAGCCCATGCCAACTCTTTGCTGTCCCATGCACCCTCCCTGGTACTGGCCTGTGCCAGGCAATCATCCCAGGGAGGAGAGCACGATGGCAGTGAGCTGCCATGTCTCCCCCTGCGCAGCATCAGGGAGCCTATGTAACTGTATCAGTTCTAACAGCACAAAGAGCCTGTAACATTCTTATCAGTCATGGGAGGTTTCCAGGATATTTCTGCCTTTGGAAGGCGAAGAGGGGACACGGGTCCTGTGAGCGTGACCCATCTGGCACTGGGGACATTGTAGAAGGATGTGAACATGAACCACCTGGCACTGGTGTCACCGTGGAAGGACGTGAGTATGAACCACCCAGCACTAGGGATACCATTGAAGGACATGAGCATGACCTACCTAGCACTGTGGACACCATGGAAGGACATGAGGGTGAACCACCCAGCACTGGGGACACTGTGGAAGGACGTTGGCGTGACTCCCCACCCTGCACTGGGGACACCGTGGAAGGATGTGGGTGTGACCCGCTTGGCACTGGGAATGAGATTTGGGAATAACCTCCCAAGAGGAGCAGTGGGAGCAAACAACCTAATTAATTTTAAGCCAGAGCATTATAAATTTATGAGCAGGGCTGTATGAGGGGACTGCCTGCGACAGCGGGAACTGGACTCCATGACCTAGAAGTCCCTTCAGTCCTAAAATCATAGAACCAGAGGGTTAGAAGGGACGGCAAGTAGGGTGACCAGACAGCAAGTGTGAAAAATCGGGATGGGGGTGGGGGTAATAGGAGCTCATATAAGAAAAAGCCCCAAATATCGGGACTGTCCCTATAAAATCAGGACATGAGGTCACCGTAACCACAAGGGTCATCTAGTCTAACCCCCTGCCGAGATGCAGGATTTGTTGTGTCTAAACCATCCCAGACAGGTGGCTTCACCCTCCTTTTGAAACCTCCAGTGAAGGAGCTTCCACAACCTCCCTAGACCTCTGTTCCACTGTCCTACTGCTCTTACAGCTCGGCAGTTTTTCCTGAGGTATATCTGCTAAATTGCTTTGCTGTAGTTTGAACCCATAGCGCCATGTTCCTGTGTAGAAAAGGAAAAACAGCACAAAGACCCACCAAGTCCCCTTCTCCCCCACCTGCCAGCCACACTGCATCAATGCTGGAGGGACGACCTCTAGGTTGGCCAGAGACTGGCGCCTGTTCAGTCCTTGGCTCTGCACAGAGACTGCAGCCCCCGGGCTCAGCTAGTGCCAGCTCAGGGGATGGGTTCTGTGCTACTGGCACCTGGCAACCGGACTGAGCCCAACCGCTCATTCCCCCTTTCACTTGACCGGCCGACAGGTGGTAACAAGCAGCGACTCTCGACCTGCCCTTGCCCATCGGGTTATTGACATTGCTTTGCAGATCCTACAGAGCCCAGGTTCCTCCCATCCTGTTTGGCTTGAGCTTTCCATATGTTTCCTTATTTGCTCTGGTGCCTGGACAGTTCTTCAGAAATGCTTTGAATTGGGACAGTGTCAATAACAGAAGTCCCTGGCTCACTGCTCTGTTATCTTGGGAGTATCTGGCATTTCTCAGAAAGGAGGGAGGACTGTCTGGCTATTTTATATTATTGTGGGTAATAAAACCGCCCAAGACACACAAGCAGTGACTATTTCCTTCTGCACATGCAAATCTTCCTTGCTGGGAGTTGAAGTTCTGAGGTAAACTGGGTGAGGACAGAGGTGCCAGGTCTGCTATAAAGGGACAAATTGCAGCTCAGTGTTCAGGAGCAGGCAGACGGACCGTTCGGGTTTCTCGCCCATCTGCTCAGCAGCACCGTCAGAATGGGTGAGTTATTTTCTTACCCAAACCTTTCATTCTGCGCCAGAGGCTGGATTCGCCCCAGGCAGATGCAGAGTGCTGTGAGGAGGACAAGGCAAAGAGTGACGATGAGGACAGGGAACGCAAGGGGCACCGATCCTGTGTCAATGAGGGGCTGCTGGGCAGCCATCCAGCCTAGCAGCAGAAGGGAGGCCAGAGAGGAGAACACGTATCTAAGCACCTCATTAGCATGAGGAGGATCAGGCCCAGGCCTTCCCACACATGCCTGTTCTCCACCCAAGCCCTGCCCCCTCTATGACCCTGCACCATGGACGCCTGAGGCTTTGTCCTGACACGCTACTTACCGACATCCAGCGTGGCCCCATTGCACTGGAGTGTGACAGCAGCGTCTCCCCCCTCACACCACAGAGGGACAGGCGGGCTGAGGCCTAAGTAACTTCACCTTCGCCCTCTACCCTTCACCCAACCCCAGAGCAAACCCTTCATCCAACCCCAGTCCGTTCACCCAACTCCAGAGCA